GCTGGAAATGACTGAGTAGAGGTGCTGGAGCACTTATGTAAAATATCTAAATAAATCTTTAATATTTCTAATTGCAAATGTACATAAATTGCACAGCCACATCATTTCTTTGAACACCAACAACTTTCTCTGTACATTATTACATAGTTTAAAAGGAGCTGAAGGAGATTCAGCAAACACTTCCACTTTGCTTTTTTTTTGTTTTTTAAACATACTTACAAAAAAAATTTGTTTTTCTTTATAAGAGGATATAAAACATAGCGACTGCTTATCAGGAACAAGTATCAGCCTAAGCAGATATACAGAGAGAGGTATATCTTAAGACACAGTGATGTATGATAAAGGAATATGTGAGGATGGAGGCTGCACTCTGGGGTACTGGTAGCTGATGCAGAGCCACATGGCATTTACAGCAATGTCACAGCTCAGGTGATCTGTAAAACTCAATGCTTGAACGTGACACCCTTTTCCCAAGCGTGGTTGTTTCTGGATGTTGTGAACACCCTCAGCACTGCCTTTGGTTTGTGAAGCCCGTGAGCTGCATGTTCTCAGCTGCTGCCCTCCCGCTCCCCCAGCTGTGAATCTCCCCACGGGAAAGGCAAAGGCAACAGTTTATCTGGGCAGGGGCAGGGCAGGGGCTTCTGTGGCTGAGCATCCTCTGAACTGCCCTGGGCCCTCAGGACCTGCCGGGAGATGGGCACAGTCCCTCCTGTGGCCACTGAAGGGAGCTCCTGTGGCCGGGAGGCCACAGCTCTGAGCCACACCAGTGCCAGGCCAGGCCAGGCTGGAGGCCTGGATTGCTTTGGACACAAACCTTTGGGAGGAGGTGACCCCGACAGTCACTGCGGGGGAAGGACAGAGCCCAGGGACAGAGTCACGGTTTGTTCCCTTCGTGCTGCCCAGGCAGAGCTGTGTGGGAAGGACAGGGCAGGGGACCTGGGGCAGCTGCTGGACACACACAGCTGCTCACAGGCTGCTCTCAGGTGTCACCCCAGGGCCACTCTCCCTGCCCTGGATCACTGGGGAAAACGAGCCCCTGGCAGATCAGATCCTGGCCCACAGCCCGTGGCTGTCCTGGCTGAACACATCAGTGGATCTGCCATCTCCTGTGACAAAATCCCCTCCTTGTCCATCACAGAACAGACCTCAGTATGTTTTCTATTGCATCTGGGAATGGACATTAGGGACAGGGGAAATCCTATGAGCTATCTAAACTTTGGGAATGATTGATTCCTTGCTGATTGCTTTCCTAGGAGAGCCTGTGACACCTCACATAGGTCCAGCAAGTCCCTTTGCCCTTTAGGAGTATTCATAGCTGCAGAACCCGTGACCTGCACCCTGCAGTAACCTATGGGGCTCCCAGGCCAGAGGGTTCTGTGTGTTCTCACAGTGCAATCAGTGCTTGACAGCTGCAAAAGCAGAAAACAAAACCAACCAGACTCAAATGACAATGTGGAGTGACACCGGACTCTTTGGATGGTGGCAGGATTTGCTTAAACTGGTGCAAAAGGGGCTGGTGACTACACTGTAGTATGAGTTGGCATGGGGAAGGACTTGGGTCCCTCCCATCTTTTGGCACTGAAGCCACAATCCCTGTCCAAAAGGAAGATACTTACAGTCTGCAGAGACCGTGGGATTCTGGTCAGTCCATTCCATCCCCCTTTACACAAACCCGCTCGGTTTTCAGGAGCCTTCACTACAGTTTGACAAAACCCCAACTCAAAACTCTTAAAACAGAATCCTTGAGGTGGGCCCAACGCAAATCTGGATCCCTGCCTTCTCTCCCTTCCCCTTCCCTCAGATCCCCACGGGAGGAGGCTGGATTCAGGACCTGGGGCTGGATCCAGATTTGCCAGCTCGAGCCCACCTTTCCAACACAGCAGTGAGATACAGCCAAATCCCGACCGAATAAGCAGCACCAGAAGTTAAATTACTATATACAACTGTTAGTGAGATAGATACGGTACAGTAAACACTGAGAACATTTACAAAAAAATATTAAGACTTGTATTAAGATAAAAATCGGAGTGTTTTTGCTTTGTTTACACTTTGCACTAGAACAGCCTCTCACTGTAGAAAGCGCAACTGGGAAGGAAATGGAGCCGAGCACAGAACCTTGGGATAGTGGTTGTTGGCTCTGGTGCTGCAGCACCTCTTGGGATCACCTCTGGTATTGCTATGCCAGGGACCAGCTCTGGGGCCACGGCAGGACCCTCTCACACACACACACACACACACACACACACACACACACATCAATGTACAGCTCATAAATAACAGAAACACGAACTGAAGGAACAGAACTGAACTGAGCCTGGATCTGAACACCTGCCCCCAAACCTTTCCAGGGGAGGGTCACCGTTAGGTCCAGTTGTTGACAAGTGCAGGGGAAGGAGACAGGGAAAAACTGGGAGGGGGGGGGAAACTCTACTGCAATGAGACTTTGTCCTGATTTGAATTTCTTTTCATACTGGCTTGGGAAACTAAGCAACAACTCCAGAAGGTGTTGGCACTGGAACTTTTAAGATTTTAATAACTGGCTATGGAAGGATTTAAGCGTTCCTGCTCTTTCAGCAGAACAATGTGTTCAGTAATTTGCAAGTTTGAGGTTAACCAGGAGTTTGTGACAGATCGGGGGGGGAAGCAGTGCCTTGGCTCGTGGTGGAGGAGATTAAGATGGACTGTGCTCAGCTTCAGCACTAAACAATTGGTTTGTGGGTGTTTCTTTTTCCAGCTCTTACGGAGAGCACTGACTGCATCCCAAAATTACCTCCATGTACGAATGGAAACGTCGCTGGTGGGCGCCTGCCCCCGTGCCCTGTTAGTGTTTCCATTCCTCTATGTTACTTCTGTCTTGAAAAACTCCAGTCTCTCGCAACACAAATATTTAGAATTCAAAAACAATCAGCTCTAAACACACATCTCAGGGCAACAGCATTTAAAATAAGTCTTTTTGCAGGGTTCTTATCAGGTATTTGACTCTGAGACAGTGGCAGACGTGAGTGCACGTACCCAACGGTTCACAGTACCCTGTATATTCCTAACCTGTCTGGGTCTTTCTCCAGTTGTGACCTTGTCAGTTTTGTGAGGTTCTTCAAAGCCATCTGTGCTAGTCTCCAAAATTCAAAGGTGACTGTACTTGCCATAAGATCTGAGTTATGACATTGCTCTGAGGAGCTCCGTTTGGGGTCTGCTGTGTGCTGCACCCCTTGGCAGCTGCTGGCGGGGTGTGGAGACCTCAGTGCAACACTTCTGCTCCTCCTGGGCCTGGCCCAGGGCTTCCAGGGACCAGTAAAAACGTGTAGGAAAAAACCAAAACATCTTTAATTTTGCGTGTGGAAGAATGCTGTTAAGGAGCCTTACGGCTGTGGGGCAGCACGGCAATGCAGAGCTTACTGGCAAAGTGTCCTGCTCAGGCAGCCTGGGCAGTGAGAGGCTGGAGACGGTACCTAAGCAGAGCTCAGGGAGCATCCTAGTCCCTGTGTACATTTACTCATGGCAGGAGGAGCTAGGCCAGGCGTTGAGCAGTGTGTGACCCTTTGTGGGAGCAAAGGCAGATGTCCTGTACACTGTACACTGTCATCCGGGTCTCAGAGAACCCTCTGGCTCTCGGTACGAGGGACCTGCTCTGAGAGTGGGACCCGTGAAGGACTAACTGCAAGAAGCCCCAACCAACAAACACGCCGTGGTGGCAGCTCAGCGGCACGACCCCCGTGAAGGGGTGACCCCTCCGCTGAGCCAACGTGGCCGTGCCGGGTCTGCGCTGGGAAAGTCTAATCCTGGCTTAGGCCTGCACAGTGCTCCTGACAAGGGGGCTCTCGGTGGTGGCTGCTGTTCTTGGTGGTTACTCCCTTATGACCATGTTTTACATTCTTCAAGCCGGTTAATTTCCATGCAGTGCTCATTCCCAATTTAAAGAGGACAGTATTCCAGAAAATGGGATCTTTTTTTTTCTAATGCATACTGTGAAAGAAAAGAAATACAATTACCGATCTTCATGGTTCTTCAGGGCTTTTTTCTTGTTTCTTTGTCTGTTTTTCTCCCCAGAAATAGTAAAACTCTCCTCACAGAGCATTCCATCCCCACAACGACCCCTCGGTCAAGCAGGAAGCTGCCATTCCACGTAGCCCCTCGCTCCCCCTCTACCACAACGGGCACCAGCAAATCCAGCCCCTGTCCCTCAATCACAGCTCAGGGACCAAGCTCAGGCAACATTCACTTTATTCTGTGGCTGGAAGTGCACGTGGGACAGTGCCTGGGGCTATTGCTTACACAACTCTTCCCCTTTATTTGAGAGAGAGAGCAGAAGCAGTTGACAGGAATCGGGTCGCCATTCACCAGGTGCCAGCTCCTCCCTCCACTCGTGTGCCAGAGCCTTGGCCTTGCCCCGTGCCCCTGGGCTGCCCACGGACCCCGGGAGCCCCAGCAGCACCAGTCCTGCCCATCTCCACTGCCCTGCCACCAGGGTCCCCCACACAGCACCCCTCTGGCCACCACACCTGACCTTCCATCTGCACTGTGCTCCCTGGGTGGGCGGAGTTAATGACACACTAATGAGCTGCGTAAATGCCCTGTGGATGCTGTAAAAGTCAGTGGCCTCACAAAAGCCACGTCGGGGAGGACGCTGGGCTCGGCTGGGGTTCACTCTGGGAGGGCTGTGCTCCGGGGGGAGGCACAGGAGGAGCGGGCTGAGCTTTGCTGCCGTCCCTCGGACGCTACATCCAGCAGCACACTCGAGCTGGGCTTACTGGGCCCCGCCTGCTGCAGGCTCTGCCCAGCTCCCTTTATTTCGCTGACTGACACGACAAGGACGTTACTCCTTGCTGGGGAGGGGTGAGGCATATCCTTTGGGCCGGTTGGGAAGGAAAAGGTTACTTCTGTTTAAACATTAAACACTGATTCAAATCCAACAAGTGACAGCGATTCTCGAATATGTGTTATTTCCTTATGCCACTCATCTCACACTCGACATTCCCGTCCCTCAAAGTGCTGGCATTGGCATCTCCCACAGCTGGGTCGGCGCCGTCCGCAGTCAGGAGCTGGTGCTCGGGCACAGCCGATCTCTGGCGCCGCGGCTCAGGGTCCCTCCGGCCAGGCCTCCTCCCGCGGCAGCGCCCGCCGCGCGTCAGCAATTACTGCTGTTTCTGAATTCTCCATTCTCTGTAATCTGCAATTTAGTTGGGTTTGTGGGGGAGATCCCATTACGTGTCTGCATGCTGTACCTCTCTTTCAGCTGAGTAAGGGCACTCATTAGCCGTGCGTTGGCAGCGTCCAGGGAAGCGATGCGTTTCTCCTGCAAGCAAACGGGCACAGGGGACGGTCAGCGCCAAGGCACGAGCCCTGTCCCCCTGGGATGTCAGGGCCTCTCCCCAGACAGTGACCCAGAGGTCTCTTGGACCAGAACACTTCTCTCTGGCAATCTTAGGTGCAGGGGTTTTAAGTGCTACGCAGCGTTTTTTGAAATCCGCTGCTCTTGGCAGGACCACAAATGTCCTTTTCCTGTGCAATGTCAGCTACATTCATTTTAGGATCCTGAAGAAAATGGAGGTAACAAAGTTCCTCTAATTATTCAGTTATACAGAAATTCATTGTACTGTTTGTTCTAACTCAGCTGTTGCCAGGATGGTAGGATTCCTTTTCTAAACCCAAGCTCTCCCAAGGTAGTTATTCCTGTCAGTGTTTAATTGATTTTGTTAGTGTAAATTAATAGTTTAAATGACTTGTAGCCTCCCAGGATGTCTTTGATGGCAACTCTCACCAATCACAGTATTGTTAGAATGGAAGCAAGAGCTTCATGTTGCAGCCTGATTGTGCTACTTGTGTTCTTTGTGACACTGATGCTCCTCTCTGTTACAAACTAAATGATTATGGATTATATTTTCAGGTTCTCTTTTCCAAGCATGGTGTTTTGCACCCATCATGTGATGCTCCTCTTCCACCGTAGCTGACAGCAGTAACTGAGCTTCCCAATCCTACAAGCCACGACCCAAAGGCTGAAAAAACATGTTGGCTTGGCTCTGGCCAGGCTGTGTGTTCCTCGTGTCCAGGTCCTGGAAGCATTACTGGGACATGAAGCACCAAGCAATGCTCCAGGGGGGGGATATGATCCTTCCACTCACTGACTGACCTGTGGGCATGATCCTTGCCCAAACTGCCACCCCCTGTGTGTCTCCTGCCACACTCCCAGGCTGCAAAGAGCTGCACAGATGTGAGTGCTGTGACAGTGACTCGTGTCCTGCTGAAGTCTGACTGCCCTGTCCTGCATGTGCTGACTCACCCCCACAGTCTCACCATGCTGGGGTGGCACTGCTGCAGGGGAGGCTGTGCTGGTACAGCCACCCTGAAAACTGCTGCAGCCCTGGCATGGGGGACTCACCTGTGCATCAATGATCTTCTGCTTGGAATCCACGGCAGCCTGCATTTCAGCGTGGTCCTTCTTTAACTCCTCCTCCACTGACATCAGTCTGGGAACAGACAGGAAAACGTTCCATTGGCTGGGCTCTGCTAAGCCCAGGTATTAGTCTCACACTCTACCTCCTCTTACACACAAACCAAACCTTTTCCTGGCTCTTAACTCTTCCCTGGAGCTCTCTCTAGAAGACCAGCCCAAAGCTGAAGTGACACAGCACAGAAAAGGCTGACCCATTTACAAGGGCTGAGTGAAAGCACTCAGTGGCCCTGGCTCAGGTAAAGGTGTCCCAGACAAATGTAAACACCACATCCCACTGGGTGGGAGAAAGGGAATTAGAGCTAGGAGTCAGGGATGGTGGTGAGATCCCCAGCTATATGAACAGAACAAGCCTGCCAGAGCCTCTGGGAGCTGGGGGGGGCTGCCAGCTCTCCCCTCCTGAAGTTTTGGCCTTGTCAGTCAGGAAAATGTTGTGGTTTTCCTTGTCCCAGGTAACACTGAGAGGGAAACCCACATGGAAAACCTGATTCTCCTGAGCAGGGATCAGCTCTAACACCAGCCAGGCTGCCCAGCATTACTGCCATCCCCAGCACTTCCATCTCCCTGTACCTGCTGATGATGCCCTTCATCTGGATCTCCTTATCCTCCTGCTGCCTCCGGAGCCGCTCCTCGCTCTCCTCCAGCCTGGCCTGGTACTCCAGCACCAGCTTCTGCGTGGTCTCCTCCTGGCATTTGAAGCGAGTCTCGTATTCCTCCAGCTTCTTGTTGGAGATGCGGAGCTTGTCCTGCAGCACCACCAGGTCCTGCTGGTACTGAGCACCCAGGGACAGACACAGGAGGAGAAAACACATGTGGCACGTTACCTCGTAGGGCTCTGCCCGTGCCAGGGGTGCCCCCAAACCCGCTCACGCCCCTCTCTCGTATCAGACTAGCTGCAAACCCGTGTCAGACAACCCCGCTCGCCGACACCTCCTCTTCCGTCTTCTCCGCTGCGCTAGGAGTGATCCCGGGTCCGGGGCAGGTCGCTGGCAGTGCAGAGAGTGGGCTGTTAGCAGAGTCTGGCATTTCACAGGGGAAATGCAGGTTAGAGCGAGCCAATGGCAAAGGCACCCGGCAAAGGCACCCGGCAGCCTCCCCGCCCCGGCAGCGCGGGGCCCGCGCAGGCAGGAGGAGCCGCAGCGCTGGGCTTGGGGGTTCACGCAGCAGCTCCTCACCTGCAGCACAAACTGGGGGGCTTTGGGCAGGCTGGGAGCCCAGCACGAGCTGCAGTGACACACGGGACACTGCTGGCTCTCTATCACCTCACCGAGGTGATGGCACTGCGCTGGGCACGAGCAGGGCACGGAGCACTCCTGCTTTTTGGGGCCCAGCACTTTATACAATCAAATCTCAAACCAGGGTTCGATCCAAGAAGAGCCACTGCGTGAAGCCAAGACCCCACAGTTGTACTGTTCATTTGGGTGAAGCTATAAATCAGCAGCAGAATCACAGAAAGCAATTAAAAAAATTAAGAGCTTTTGAACTCGGTAAAACTGGGTTCAGCTATTGCAGCAGCACAGCATTCAGTTCAACTTGCTTTGCTAAAGGAAAATCCAGTGAGTGTGTGCCCAAAAAAACCTGCTTTAATTTCAAAAAATTATCTTTGGAAGTAGTCTTTGGAAAAGAATCTCAACTGGAATAACCTTTGAATAATTAACATGCAGCTGATAATGTGACAAGCTGCTTTTAAAGAGCCAGATATGGGAAAAAGCTTCTCATCTGAGTCCTGAAGGCTGTTAAAGCTACAAGTGTTATTCATGAACTTTCAGAAATGCACCTGGGTAAGCACTGCCATGATGGACTGGGTCGTGTCCATTATTTGAGAGTCCTCCTGGGGTGTGTGATCCCCAGATCAGCTCTAGGGAGAGGGGAGGGCAGCACTCCACTCACAGCAAAAACAACTGCTGTGCCCAAGGACTGAGAATTTAGGATGCTGATGGTCTTCCTGAACTGCCACAGTCCCACAGCAGGGCTGGCAGAGGGCAGGACCTGGAGCTCCCCCTGCCCAGGACAGAGCACTCCAGTTTTCCTTTAGCAAAGCTCTCGGTGCAGCACGGAAAGGACACGGTTTGCACATGGAACCTGGAACGATGAGGGGACACAAACGCCCGTGCAGCTGCACAGAAGCACTAAGGTCAGACAGCAGGGAGTTGCTCGAACAGGAAAGATTAAATACCTACCCTAGCCTTAAAATAGGAGCAGCGTAAGTGAGCTCAAAGGAGAGCAGCAGAGGCCTCGGAGCCCGAGGAGTCGCTCCTGTCTCTAGAACACTCCTCTCATTCTCGGTTACCATTCATGTCTTACGGTAATGGGGAGAGAGAGTATGCTAATGGTGATCTTGGATGTCAGTGACTGATGGCACAGCAGAGGAAGGAAAGATGCTGCATGGCAATGAGACAGCGGGGCAGGGCTCCCGCTGGACCTGGGACAGGGACTGGGATGCTGCAGTGCCACAGGGGTTTGTAACCCCACCAGTGTCTGCCCTGCTCAGAGTAAGAAAAGGGCTGAACCCACAAAACTCTGCCCTGCTCTTCCTGGGGCAGCTGGGAGCTGCTGCCTTGTACCTCCCGGGCCCTACGATGATGCCTTTGGCATCTCACTTGGATTTCAAGAGGTGACAGTCCCCAAATGACACAGCACAGCAGAATGAGCACAGGAAGGCTACTGGAACTAAAGCAGAGACATGTCTGTCCTGGGAGAAGAGGGTGGGAATTTGGGGAGGGTGATGTCTGCAGTGCTGAGGGACAGGAGGTGACGTGTGGCTGGTGTGAGAGGAGAGAAGCACAGTGAGGAAACATCCCAAGTGCTAACGGTGCCCAACTGCCCACTCCCAGCAGAGCCAGGCTGGATCCTCATTTCTAACCCTTGTTTTTCACCCTGGCCTGGCCTACTCTGTCTCTTCCCAGCTTCTCCCACCCCAGGCTCACCCAGGAAGGAGGGGAAGGAGCAGCACCCCTCTACTTCAGGGGCACAGGGTCTCTGTGGGACCAGGGACTGAGACTGAACACTCTGGAATGGGCTTCCTGGCAGATCCCCACACTGGCCTGGCCCTGATCTGTGAGCCATAAGCTCATGGCAGTGTCACTGCACTGCTGAAATCGCCTCAGGCCCCAGTGCTGTCTCTGAGACTAAAATCTGGACTTAATTTTTAGGTCTGTGAACAGCCTTTTGACATGGAAGCTGCTTCCTGCTACATGACCCTGTTGTGAGGCAGGAGACTGCCTGTACCTAACTCCCACCTCTGTTACAGGTGTGCTTAATCCACCTTTTCAGCTTTCTTCCCTGCAACTGGGAGGAGTTGGAATGGGGGCAGTAGGAGGCACTGGCTGGCTGCAAAGTTTGTTGCAGGGCAGCATCAGTACTTGATTGCTGGCTCCTGTTTTTCTTACTTGCTTTCATCAGAAGGTGATTCCAGGCACTGAGTATGTGAAAACCTCCCAAACCTTCTCCAGAAGCTCCCTGTGAGGCTGAGCAGAGCATCACCCTCTCTCATGGACAGGGATCTGCACAGAGCCCACCTTCTCCCCAGGGTGCTCAGGGAACAACATTCAAGGAAATCCTCTCTCTATTCAGAAACTTGTTTCAATCCAATCAGGTTTTACCTTTTCTGCTTGGCTGAGCTCGTCCTTATTCCTGAGCTTATCCCTGTGCTTGGAATCTGGGTCAATGCTTTCATCTTCTAAAAACTGCATGTTCATATTCAAAAGCCAAGCAGCAGTGCGGTCCAGGGCATTGGGGTTCACAGGAGAAGGGGCCTACAATGAAACACACAACCATGACAAAAGAAAAACCTGGAACAGAAATGGTCATGAGGCTGGAGAGAGAGAGAGAGAGAGAGAGAGTTTCCTTCCAAGCAGACCCTCAGCCACGCTGCTCAAACAGCAACGAACCAGGCTGGGCTGCCAGAGCAGCTGGGACTGGGGGCAGGAACAGCTCCTGTTCTGCAGCTGCACATTGGTTTGGGTCTAACAGCCTCTGAGAGGCCAAATCCTTCCCTGTGCCATCCTGCCTGCACAGGTACAGCAGAGCACAGCAACAGGATCCTGCTCCAAGTCATGGCCCAGGTGTCTGAGCAGGTCCTGCCACCTCAGAAGGACATGAGCTGCACAGGAACGGAGCGTCTGGGCGTGGTGTGTTCACTCCATGAGCAGAGAAATCAGCTCTTCAGCCTGTTGCTGAGCTGTCTTTGCTTGCAGTGGAGATTCCACACAGGTAAAACAAGATCTGAAAACTGAAACGCTCCTTATGCAGGTGTCTTCTTGGAGAAGAAAGGTTTCCTTTGGGCTGAGGCTACACTTGGGGTGCTGGAGAGATCTAAATGCTCAACTTCTCAGTAGTTCAACTGTAGTTTGTTCATGTAGCCAGGGGAGCTGAAGGACCAGTGCTGTTCCATGGCCAATGAGCTGGAGCCACAGCTGCTGCCTTTCAGTCCTGGCCCGGGCAGGGACTGCCAATGGCATTGCCCAAATATTTTCCAACCACATTACACAGCTGAGGAAGTCACCCTCCAGCTATTTTGCCTCCATCCTGTCTCATTATAAACTGCAGTGAACAGCTGGATGAACACATGGGACCTGGATGACTTGGTCAAGGCAATTCAAGTGAACAAATCAGAAATGTTGGGGACCTTCTCCTTCGTCCCAACCTCTAGACAGTGGAGAAACCTGGTCACTGTCAGGCAGCAGAACAGGAGGTTCTGTATCACAAGGAATGGGGACTGGTTTAATCCCCTCACTGGGGTCAGGGGCTTTCCTGTGCCATCTTCCTGTCTGGTCTTCTCTCTCCAGAATAACGAATCCAAAGTGTCAGACTCGACTCATGAACACTCATGAACATCATTTGCTACAAATCCTCATCCATCTTCTGGCTTTCCGCTTTTCCCTACACCTCCAGCTCAGGCACTGTACCTGGGGTGGCTGCTCAGAGGGTCTGAGCCACAAAGCCACCCGGGATTGTTCCAGCAGCATAAAGGCCACTGTTAAAGGATGTCAGTGAACAGAGCTCAGCCCACTGTGCACAGGTCTTTCTGCCTCTTCCTTCCTTCTCTGAAGAAGTACAGAAGGACATCTGCTGTGACCTGGGAGAGCGTGGAAGTCAATTCAGTAGATGACCTTGCAGATGTAGAAGCAGCCTTTCTGGTTGGCAGCAAGGAGGTTCATGGACTTCTTCTGAAAAAAGCCACCAGATGGGATTCCTCTGGTCTCAAACAGCATTAAATACAACCAATGAGGAGCAGTTTCCAAATGGTTCCAGATGCTGCCAACATGCAAATAAAATGTGCAGAGTGAGGGTGGCAGAGGCATTCTGAGGACTCCAGGTCTGGAGAGAAACTTTGAGAGGATCACAGGGGTGGATGGAGGAATGGTCTGCAAGGAGAACCTGGCCAGGGCTTCCAAAGGCCACCCAGAGATCATGGATGTCTTTCTGGAAGAACTTCTGCTGCGAACAGGCCTGTGCTGCTTGCAGAGCTCTGTGCCCTCTGTCCCTAATGAGCATTGATCCGTGTTACACAAACGCTGCCGCGTGGCAATGCCAGCTCAGGGATCGATACCGAATGCATGGAACAGCTCCAGATGGGAGCACGGAACAGCCTTCTGTGGGCAGCACTGACCCAGGGCTGCCTCGTGCAGGAGAGGAGGTCACACCAACCCTGTACTGCTGGAGAGGTGCCTGAACTCTGGGTCTGGGCCGAGACGCAGGAGCTCCTGCCTGTTGTCCACATTCTCTGGATCTGTGTTACTTTTACAGCTCTTCCTTTAGCACAGAGAGGCCCTACTGTGGTAAAGTTCTATAGGCTAGTTCTGAAACGAATAAATGAGCACTAGAAAAACCGTTTGTCCGTGCCAGGGCAACCAGAGGGCCCTGGGCCTGTGACCTACTGCTTTCCATTTTAGCCCCACAGACAGTGGACTGGATTTCTGTGCAGCCCAGCACTGGGATCACTGTGGAGCTCAGCACAGCGGGAACGTCGCTCTCGGCGAGGAGCACCTGCTCCTTCCTCATCGCTCCCACCTCCCAGATGCTCTCACAGGAGGGTCTCACAGTGTCCAGCAGCGCCACAGCCCTGCTGGGATGGGAGCAGCAGCAGGGAGGCTCTTAGGCACGGGAGATCAGGGCCTGTTCCAAGCCTGGGAGATGGCACGGGATTGACTATGGCATGGGATGAGAGCCTGGGCATGGAGAGGCAAAGCAGTGACAAGATGGTAGCGCAGGACAGCGGCTCGGCTGCCACGGCCCTCGTGCCTCTGCCACCTACCACCTCACGGGCCAGCGTGCCCTGTGACAGAGGGACACTGGCAGCAGACACTGGGCTGTGTCCCCAGCCCTGCAGGGGCTCCATCTCAGGCCGAGCTGGGTGCCATTATCGAGGTACATCCCCACGTGTGACGCCACTGCGGGGTCAGCACTGACGCGGTGACTCGGAGCCACATCCCCCCCTCCTGTGGCAACGACCCCCACGGGCTGAGCCCCCCCGGCCCCTCAGCACCCAGAGCCCGGACAGCCCGAACTCACCTGTTTGTGCATCGTGCGCTGCTTCATCTCGGGGCTGTCGCCCTTGGAGGAGGAGGACTGCTGGCGGAGCCGGGCCCCGCTGCCGGGCCAGTCAGGGAAGAGGAGGCTCAATGCTGCGCTGGAGGGCCGCGGGGTACTGCCCCACCGCTGTTCAGCAGGACGGCGGGGTCGGTCCGCGGCACAGGGCGGGGGCGGCGGGGGGCGGCTGGGCGAAGTTGCCGGCCCTGCGGCCCGCGCTTGTTCTGCCGCCGGCATCGATGGGCTGCCCGCCTTCTCGGTGAGCGAGCGCTGCACGCCCGCCGGCCAGCTCCCGCTCGCGCGCGAGAAGTCTCGGCGGGGGGCGCGGAAGAGCCCGTGGCTTTGTTGGCCCGTAGCTCTCGCTGTGCTGTGGGCATGAGCGAAGCTGTGGCATCGGAGCCCGAGTCGCCCAGGGCGCGGGGGACAGGGGCAGACCCGCGGCCATCTGGTACACGGGGTTCTGGAAGGACAGCGGCGCCAGCAGCTGCGGCCGCCCCGGCGCGCTCTCGCCGCTGGGCGTGGTGGGCGTCTGGCCCACCCGGCGCACGGTGGCCATGCCCGTCACGCTGTTCTGCTGAGTCCGTGTGGTCCACATGCCCTGCAACTGCCCCAGGGACGACTGACTGTCATTGAGGGAGTCGGCCGTGCCGGGCGCGTTGGCCCCACTGTCCAGGAGCCGATTGTCCTGCAAGTCCACCATGGACAAACTCTTGCTGCCATTAGACATCTGCACGTCGGGCTCATTGGCCTCTGAGTAACTGGAGCTTCGGGCAGGCGAGGGCTGGGCCCCAGCAGACCTTGTGACAAAAAACAAGTCCTTGTTTTCAGGGGTTGGAGATGGTAACCGTGTGAAATCTATCAGACTGCGGGAAAGTCAGTGCGTAAGGAAGAGGAGAGGAAAACAAAACAAAAAAGAAGAGTTGTGAATGCTGCACCAGAGCAGGAAAACGAAATCACTCAGAAATCAGGGTGGCGCAGCTGTGTGGGATTGGGATTGGGGTGGGGATATGGACAGGACCCAGCCCCGGCAGGGGACAGTGTGAAGGATGAGGATGGAGGGTGCCATGAGCCCCGGGCTGGCCTGGGAGTGGGCAGGTGAGGACAGGTGAGCGAGGGGAGTGTGTGCACGGCCAGAGTGCTGGGCAGGAGGCATCAGGGACGCGCTCCTGGCGCTCTGCCATCCCAGCTGGCTCTGCTCCGGGCCAGCCTGTGTCACCTTTCCTGCTTCCAACCATGCCACACCCGTGTCCCCTGCTCTGTACCTGGGCAGCAAACTCCAGTGGGCACCCTGGCCAGGATTTGTACAGCACAGAACACTGTGGGGGCCAGATCCACACCAGGCCTCCCAGGGTCAGCAAGCGCAGCAGAGCTAAAGCCTGGCAGCTGAAGGTTATCCCCCCATTCCTGCTGCAACACACATTCATGCAATATTGATTTCTTGGGGATAGGAAGAGAGAGCTTTGCAGTAGCTTAATGCGAATATTCTGCTGATCAAAGATGGTGCATTGTAAGCAAGTATTTGGGGAGAAGCATATTGTCAGAGATCCTCCATAGCATTAGACAAATAATTGCACCTCATGCTGGGAAGCACTAGAGATGAAAGCTCTGATTAGAGGAAGTCCAGTGCCATTGCTGCCTTTCATTTCTAATTAAACTGTTAAATATTATGCAGTTTCCACTTACAAACTATTTTACTAGCACAGTCTTTCCATTTGTGTGGGCTCCATTTCATTTTCCACAAACAGAAACATCAGAGGTCTGCAACAGCCTCATTCTTCCCCGTGAATGAAGCTCCTTACTTAATCAGGGCAAAAAGTATGTAGGTGACTGTGTCTGTGAATCACTGCTCATCATTAAAAACACCCAGTTTTATAAAAACTGGACAGAGCAGTCTGGAACTCATTGTGAGGCCTCTACAGCTTGGCAACTGTTACAGAAATAGCAGGTTTGGATCTCAGTGAATTCAGCACACACCCTATGTCTTACAAAGATGGGTAAGGCCAATCCTGTACATCTCAAATGCTCCTTATTGATGATACCCACATCCTGAGGTCAGCACAAACAGACTCTCAAGTCCTCAAAAGATGAACATTTTGCTTCTCAACAGCTGAGAGAGGGACCACCAGGTTCCTGATTTCCCAGACCACATGCCCAGTTTTGGCTCTCAAAGGGCTCAGGATGGAGCCACAGGCTGGCACTACCCCCCACTGCTTTGGCAGTGTCAGACTGAACTGCATCCAGGATCAGCTCTGTGATGGGAAATGGTCAATGGACTGGACAGCAGCACACTGCACCCCATCCCGCCTGCCCCTGCACGAATATTCCACATTTCCCTGGCGTGTGGCCCAGCCATGGTTCATCTCTTACCCAGACAGGTCATTCTCTATCACCATTTTCTGGAGCCCTGCAGAGATGCTGTTGCCAGCGCTGGGCGTGGAGGCGCCGTGGTCGGCGGTGACCGAGACCTGCACGCAGGCCGGGTTGCTGAGCGCCGCGTTGACGTCCCTCAGGATCCGGGGCAGAGGGCCCAGCTTCGTGGCAGTGCCCTGGGCAGAGGAGAGAGCAGAATTACTGCCAGCATCTTGTGCTTTTGGCTAGAGAACCGTGGGCTTTGCCAGCTGCTGCACAGTCCCCTCAGTGAATCACACTGACAATATTTCCCCCATCATTTCCACCCCCTGCCATCCCCTGGGTACCTGCTCCAGTTGGGAAATGACTTCCCACAGTAGTGAGTGCAACGTGGACAGTTCCCGGCCCAGGTCGATGTAGCCCTCAAAGCCAGCTGTGTTTGAGATGGTTTCAGGATTGGAAATCTCCAGGAGAAACCTCTGCATGTTAGTCCATTCATGTTCCAGGAACTGATTCATAAAGGACATGTATTCCTCTTTGCTGCCAAACCTATCGAGAGAGCAACATGGATTTCAGCTAAATCCTGTAAAAAGAAGGGCAGTCCACAGAAAGGGCAGGTTCATATGCAGGTAAAGAACCCTCCTCTGGCATCTGAACCCTTCAGAGCCTCTGGGATCCCTGGGCTGCCAGCAGGCACCCAGCACACCTCACTGATCACAGAAACAAAAGTAACCCCAGCCTGATCCAGCTAAGTCCTCATCAGTGTGGGATCTCCACAGCACAAATGGAGGTGAAAGCTAGAGAAACACAGGAGTTGTTGGTAATGGACCCTCTCTTACTGCTGGGTCAGGGCACAGCCTCCAGAAACAGGACCTGTCACTGGAAACCAAGATGCTGTCACAGCAATCACCCTCAACTGCTGGCGGTAGGAATCCTGCACTCTTCAGCAACACAGGCATAACTGCTCTGGGGCTCACCCTGGAGAGCCACCCCTGCAGCTGGGCCAGCTTGGTCTTCCTGCCACCTCCTTCTGCCCTCCAAGCACTCCACCCTCACTTGTGTGTCTTATTTAGAGCACAACAGGGAGGGCCTCGTGGTTGGGCTGTCCCAGCTGCAGTTGGTGCTGTGCCAGCGGTTCTGTGGGACAGGCCCAGTGCCACCCACAGGACAGCTCAGCTTGATCACTTTGGCTTGACTAATGTCAGCTTAGTTAAAGAGCCTTTCCTTGAGCGCTGGAAATCTGAAAGCCCTTTAGTCAGGGATTGGTCAGGTGCACAGAGAATTGCTGTCATCGAGTGTAACACACTTGTACATCTCCCGCCTGCGTCCCGTGCGCGTCCGGGCCTTCCTGACTGCGGGTGTGAGCACTAAGCCAGTCTCCAGATCTAAGAAGCTTTAGACAGAAACTGTCCATTCATGTTACAGAAAGCTCATCATTTTGTTATCAGAGCTCAGGATAAGGAGCTCAGAGCTGCAGCCAGTGAAAAGATTTTCAGAAATCTCTCGCTTTGTTTCCATCAAACCAATGGGCTTAGTTAAGAATTGATGGTGTCCCTGTTCTCTTCTCAGGCTTTCCCAGTTCAGTCAGCTGCATTTTAATAGCAGGGAAGGTCCCAGAGCTCAAAGGAGGGACAAAGCAGCTCCTGAGCTGTGCACACCACTGCTGCTGGTCGGGTCTGGTCCCACACCCGTGGGACACCACAGGACAATGTCCCCGCTGCCATCCCGCTGCTCATCCCTGTGCTCAAAACAGCCTGTTTTCCTGCTCATAAAACACGTCCTGTTTTGGAAACTTTAATGACCTCCCTGACCCAACAGTCAGTCCCAGAGCGATGTGGGGGGAAAAGCCAACAGGAAGCCCACAGGCCCTTTCCAGGGAGGGAAGGAGCAGCGGGTGTGGGATCCACGTGGCTCTGCCCACACACCCAGAGGTTCCTTTTCCCCTCCCGCTCCCGCAGCCCGGCTTACTTGGCGAAGTTGGCGAGGTTCTGGGTGACCTTGGCAATGAGGGTCAGGGTGCGCGCGGTGCGGTCGTCGGGGTACTCCTGCAGGAGGCTGAAGAGGGACGGGGACATGATGGCCGGGCACAGGAACCGCAGGAACAGGGAGGCACTGATCAGGCGCTCGCTGATGTCGGGGCGGCCCCGGTTGCTGCATTCCTGTCTCCACGAGGCAAAAACTTCTTTGAGCTCCCTTGGGAAGACGCTGAAAGGACAGAAGGGCAGGCAGTGTCTGTCAGGGTTAGAGCATCAGGAGACTCAAACCACATGGGAAAGAGCTGCTCTGTAGAGCTGTGAGAGGGGCAGCTTCCATCAGCCCAGTGTCCTGGTTGTGCCAGGACCTCGGACAACTGGGAAGGCTGGGATATGAAACAAACTGTGCACAGCAGCTTATCAGGACTCAGCTGGCTGTGCCATGAATCACCAGCAGCTCCAGGGTCTCCAGCACAGCTGGAGCTTGGAGGGAGGGCTCTGCAAATTGTAATACTCCTGTTCAAGCACCTGGATCAAATCCCAGCGTGCTTAGTACAAACACAGAGCCCCACCGGAGTTACTCCAGCCTTGTAGCTGCACAGACCTCAGCCTACCTTTCCCGGATGCCAGAATTCCCCTGGGTCCAGCAGACACTCACTGCAGCAGCCCTTATCGCTGGAGAACTGCTGCCTGTTCCTGCTCAGCCCTCCCCAGCCCCCTGCTCCCACCTTATCCTGTTCCCAGCACGTGTTATTTATTCAGCTGGATACTCCCACCTGGGAGAAGGTTGGCACTGGGTCCCACCGTGGGTCCCTGTGTCCCTGGCACACAACTCCTGCCACCCCAGCCAGGAACCACCGTGCTTGTCTCACAGCCCGAGCTGATCACTGACAGCCAGGGGTACCAAAGCAGGGTGTGGGGGGGTTCAGGCTGCATTTTAGGCCATAAATCCCCCTTACAAACAGCCATTTCCAAGGATGGTGTTTCCCAGTTTTGCTGCAGGGACTATCTGGTAGAAGTGAAGCAATGCCAGCTGGCCTGTCCCCTCGGTGGGACTGACTGCCCTGGGCTGAACTGTTCACAAGCCAGGAAGGGGAGAAAACCATGGGAATTGCATGGCCAGAGACACCAACAGCATGAACCAGGTGGGAGGCTCCAAAAGAGAGAAGCCCTCCTATCCACCCACTGTCCCTGTGGCAGCACTCCCAGGGCTCTGGGCAAATACAGGGGTGCTCCTCCTGCTGCCAGTGCTCCACATCCTCAGGCCTCTGCTTCCCAGGGCTACGGACACTGCTCACCAACACCAACTGCCTGCTCCTTGCCACAGCCACAGAGTTCAGGACCCGTGGGGTTTGGGGTCTGTCAGAGGGGCAGGAGCCCTGCAGCCACCTGGCCATGGCCTCTGGCCCTGCAGCCGTTCTTCGAGCCCACAGGTAGAGCCTTTCTCCAGTTCCTCTTTACCCTTCCAACATGCTGCTGACAGTCCATAAAAGTGCCTGGCAAATGCTGCCATCCTGTTCAGCTTCTGCTCCGTGCTGGCTTCTCACTTTCACTCTCACGAGCTTTTACCTCGAGCTTTACAAATAACATTAGCCACCGTCTTCGGCTGGATAGATTCTCCTCTGTCTTTGGCTTGATCCACACAATTGGACAAAGCCCTTTTTCTTCACGGTATTTGCCCAGAAACAGGAGAATCCTTTAAGCAATTTAAGGCTTGAATGATCAGGACAGGTTGTGCAGTTACTGGAAAGTAAACCCCTGAAATGCAGCCCCGGCTGCGCGTTCCCCATCAGGGGCTGGAGCCCGTGGAAGTTTAATTGTGCCACAGCGGATGGAATTCAGCTCGTCGGCTTTATGCGACAAACGGGCCCGTAATTCATTACCCAACTTCCCAGTAACGAGCTTCCACATGCTGAAATTCTGCTTACACTGAAACTTTCCAGATGTCCAAATTATGTCATAATTATAACAATTTTCGGTTATTGTAAACCCCTTTCCTCCGCCTGCCTCTCTCCGCAGATGCGCACGCACACTCCAGACTCTATTTAAAGCAGGATCCTTGGCTGTCAGGATACCTTGGCCAATCCCAACACTCAGCAGCCCAATTAATCCCCAGGAACCGCTGAGCACAAAGCACTGAGGAGGAACCACTCAGAGCAGCAGCTCAGCTGCTCCAGCCTTCCTTGGAAGAATGAACTTCCTGTGCATTCCTGGCTCTCCTTAGGTCACTTCTCAAGACTATTTTTAGAGTGACCTTTTAGTGCCGCTTTGGGTATTTTCAGGAAGACATTAATTCAAACAATTATAATCCACTGGTGACTAGAAGTGGTAAATCCCTCCTGGGAGAGCAGATAAATGCCATTCCTGAGTCAGAGTTGTTAATTGGCCCAGGATAAGGGATAGGATACCTGTAAAGAACCTGCCCTTTGTGTACCTATGGTGGATAACAGCAGCCTGAGGGAACCTCTTGCTCCTTGCTGTCTCCCTGAGCAGGATCAGGAAAAGCAATTCCCTTCCTGGCTTGCAGGAGGGCATACTCAATATCCTGGGAAATTACTTATAATAAATTTTCTGACCTCAACACAACAGCTGAGATAGGAGAGAAAATGATAAATCCTCATTATGAAGGACTTCCTTCCTTCAATATTATCCCTAGCTGATGCTTTGCAGCAACAGTGTTGCTACTAAATATATTAATAAAAACTAAGCCCAGATTTTAAGCAGGAAGGCTGGAAATCCAGCAGTGGGACAAAAATGCTCCTTCTCTCATGATCAGGATGAGAGGCTCTGGGTATGTTAACACGAAGCACGGAGACAATATTTTTATTTCTCCAAGTAAAGAGAGTCACAGGCCCACCTTTTCACCCTTTCAGGTCACCTTTGCAGGCAGCAGGTTCACTGGGGCAGGGACTCCTGGCTCCCAGTTCCAGCAGGAACACCATGAGCACAGCCATACACAACAGCCAACTCCACAGCAGGATACAGCTGCCTCACTCCAACAAATCTGGGATATTCAGGCCTGTCCCAACTGGTAGCAAGAACCTTTACCCTGAGAACAAACAACTCGGAAATGCCTCCAGCTGCATACCAGGCCCTGGGCCAAGGAGGCAACGGGCTCCCATCGGGCTCCCATCGCGCCCCGGCAGCCGCCCGGGGCTGGGAGAGACAGGGGTTAACCCAGAGGAATGTGGGATGCTGAGCCAAGCAGCAACCTGGGAGAACAGCAGCATCCTTCCAGCTCCAGCACTGCAACTAGGGAACCTCTGCCCAAACAAAAGCTGCCTGTGCTGGGTCCCTGCCTGTGGCAGGATTTCAGAGCTTCACCGGACGCTCGGGGAGGTGCACCCAGACTGATTCATCCCATGGGTGGGAGACCCAGGACATGCATTTCTGCCCTTTACTCCAGAATTTCATACACATTTGGCATCAAGTACCTCTCTGAATGGGTCACACTGGTAAAGGCATTTTGTGTTCCTTGACTGCAGTGCCCTGTCCCTGTGCCCCAGCACCTCTGAAAACAAGGGTGACGGAGAATCCATGAGACTGTTGCACCCCTAGAACTGACACCCCAAACTCTGGCAGAGCAGCAGCTGCTGTCTCACCTACTCCTGGACCACCAGCATGTGGGCAGGGCCCCACAGCTCCCCCTCCAAAGCTCCCTGACAGGTTGCTATGGGACAGGTCCCACCACCTGCAGACAGACTCCTGCCACCCTGCCCCGCTCCGCGCGAGCCGAGGGAGCGACGCTCCCAGGACACCCACCAGTAGGAGTTGATGATCTTGCAGAAGGCCAGCTCACAGCACATCTTCAGGTTGCCCTGATGTTCAGGAAGGTCTGCAGATGAACACTTGCTGGGATCCACCTCACAATTTTCATCTGATTCGTACAACGCCTTGATAAATTCCCCTGGAAAACAGAGAGAGTTGGTGATGGGTTTGGAGACATGAGAAGAGCCTTCAAACAACTCTGTTCCTAAGCCCCAGTGCCCCAGCAGCTCTCTGGCACCCCATCACACTGGAAGAGAAGATGGATATGGGAGCAGGTGGTGACCCCAGAGCCCCAGCCAGCTCTCCAGCTCTCCAGCAGGGCCCAGGAGAGCCTGGCAGTGCCTTGGGAGCTCGTAACCAGCACAGCACACCCTGCACCCGGGTCCTGAGGAGCACATTCCATCCCTCTTCCCCAGCTGGCAGCTCTGCCCCCGTGGCTGGGGGATATTGCATCAGGACTCTGCTGCCAAGCACCCGCTTCCACAGCCCGACCCCCCACGCTCCAGTTCCAGAGACGCTCCCTCGGGCTAATCCAGCAGGAAGGATGCTGGCAAGCTCTCTAATTATTGGTAGCATGGCCTGCTACTGCAGACTGTGCCCTGGCACTGACAAGCCACTGTGATTCACAGGAGAAACAGGTAATTAAAGGAAAGAAACAATTTACTTGGTTTATTTTGAGCTGAACATCACACAAAATTAAATGAAAATATTTCTCTGAGATCCCCTGTGCTCCTGTTTGCTGCCTGGCTGCTCCTCACCCTTGCAGAGGCTCACACTGTGGCTGCTGTGCCAGCTCCTGCTCTCTGGTCACCCTTCACCCTGGGGTACCTGGGCACAGCCCCCACACCCAGCTGAGGGGGTGTCCCACCTCAAGGGAGGGGCTCAGTCCTCCATCCCAGCAGTGACTGGGGGCACCAGGGGATGGGACAACAGGGATGAAAAGGCACCCTTGTTTAGCTTGGGTGATGTTCTGGCAGAAAGGTTTGCTTTGGTTTTCTTCTCATTCTAGGTGGTTTGCTCCTAATTCCTGTCTGCCTTGGATTTTCCCATCCTGTTTTCTCCCCACTCCATAGTCTGCATTCCTTCCCTATTGCCAAAACAGATTTTAATTATATACTGGAGAGTCTCTCCAATGTATTTTCAGCTCTGCCAGGGAGCTCTGGAGCCACTCTGCTCACCTGCAGGTGATGCCTGCTGTTCTTACCTGGCCCCATTACCTGCTCCATGGCTCCAGGACAGTGCCACGCTGCCCTGGGGCACCTTGTGACACGCAGGGGAACCATCTCACTGCTAAAAGGTCACTCACAACCAGCACCTCAACAGTGAACAAGAACCCCAGGCTCCTCCTGCACAAGATGGGCCTGGCAGCACTGAGCCCCAAAAAGGGAATATTTCAAAATTCTCTGATTTCATTAATATTCCAGCTTTTGAGAAATTATATGAGATAATCTACTTACAGTCTTGCCTTCAACCAGAAGGCATTACAAGGCAGATATAAATAATATTCTTTTTGCTATTCTTGTGGGCTCTCTGTTGCTTTGCCTGAATTTGATCAATTATTTCCCTTTCCTCAATGCTGTCATTATTATTATTCTCTTAATAAAGTATTTATGCTTCTTTTCTCCTTGCTAAAATAACACAAATCCACTAGCAGGAACCCAACACACTGAAAAATTAACACCTCAATAGAAGCCCTGCTCATCCCGCTCTGGGATGTGGATCCAACGGAGCTGCCTCTGGCTGAGCTCATTCCAAGGCAGCCTCTCCCCATCCTCGTGCTGTGCTGCCTGCACGCAGCAATTCCTTCCTGACCTGCCCAGAAGCAGAAGCTTCTAATTATTTTCATTTGCATCAAGAGAAATATTTTTGGAGCCATAAACAGAGCCAGTACTTAAAAAAAAAAAACCACCAGGAGGGTTCCCAGTGCTGGGTGATCCGGGAGGCAGCTCATCACTGGCTTGGGAGATCTCTTCTGACTCGGGAGCGCTGCAGGAGCGTCTCTGGTGGGGGGTGTAAGGGGGGAAGGATTCAATCAGCCCGTGACAGGGCCAGTGCTGAGACAGAAGACCTGGCAGGCAGCATAATGCCTTCAAACATCCATTTGTTATCTCCTCTGAGAGCAGAGGGAAGCGCCAGCTCAGCGGTCACCTTCCCCTGGGAGCAGAGAGCTCCTCACAGCCATGTCCACTCTCAGACCTGCTGCCAGGGAGACCCTCCAGCAGGTAAGTGCTGGTGCCTCTGATGGCCATCAAGGCTCAGGTGAAGGTCCCACCCTGCAGCTTGGAGAACCTCTCTGGGCAAGATCTGCCAATGCTCTGTACGTACCTAAGGCATCTTGCAAGTATTTCTGCCCCACCAGCTTCAGGTATTCTTCGATTGCTTTGGTGGCCAGTGTGTTCTCCCTGAAAATGAGATGCTCATTCTCACCACAGCGATCAACTTCAGACATCATCAGGTCAGTCAAGAAATCCTGGAAAGCAAAGCCCATGGTGGGTCACACACAGACACGTGCTGGTCCCGCAGAGCAGCCGCCGCCCCGGCCCCGGGGGAGGTCCCACCTTGGTGAGACACCCGAGGGCGGGTGACACCCGTGCTGCGGGTGATCCTGTGTGTGCACCTGCCTCGCTACCTGCCCAACTCCCTCACAGGGACAAGAGGAGAAATAAATCTCTGGAGAGCCCCAACTTTTGCCCCCCAGCGACTCATCCCAGACCTGTGCTGCATTTGCCCCTCCAGCAGTGGCTGGGCTCGCAGCAGCCCCACATTTGTGGGTGAAACCTCTTCTCCCCTGTGAGACGTGGCTGTGTTTGGTGTCCAAGTGCACTGCTGCACACCAGGGCCATGCTCCGATGTCACGAGCTGTGCCCACAACTAAAGGTTGAGAATCAAGCCTGGATATGCACTGAGATGCTCCAATGTCCTGTTTTCCCAGTATTCCTTGAGATAAACAGCACTGCAACAGAGCCCATTTTGGGCACATTTTCGGTCTGATAGGCACACAACCAAAGCCATGGGCTGTGATAATCCTCTGTGCTGCACAGCAGTGGAAGGGGTGAGCAGGAGCAGCCCCTGACAGCTGCCCCTGCATCAGTCTGGGCTCTTGGACTGCAAATTCTAGAGGAAAACCAGCATTTCAGAGAGAGCTCCACATCTGCTTCAGTCCCAGAGTTCACTGAGCAGAGGGTCAGCAGCCAGGGCTAATGCAGGAGGAATGCCAGGCAGCTCCTAATGCTGATACATTCCTCTGCACTGCTCACGGGCAGAGCAGCTCTGCCCATGCCTGGCTCCTCCTCCTGCACCAGGTGCTCAGTGTCACCACTCACCTGGATGACAATGGAAAGAGGGGCTGGCACTGTGCAAATCACCCTCTGACAGCTTCCCCACGCAGGAGACAGAGAAATGTTGACAGACACATTCACTTCCACAACCAAGGGCACCTTCTCAAAGTCCCTTTTACTGAAACAAAATAATCTGCTCAGTAACAACCTTCCACTAAGAAATTCTCCTTCATTCCTCACAGCAGTACCAGTGGTAGCCCTGGTTGCTGGCAGGGGCAGGAGGAGCACCCCAGGCTGCCATGCAGTGTCCCAGGTCCTGTCCCTGCCATTCCCAAGCACAGCACAGCTCCCAGAGCACCCAACAAACCCACTGCTCCCACATTCCCACAACACTGTGACTGGGACCAACGTGCTGCCTTGACCTTCCTCCAAAAACCTCCAAAAAAGCCAAAGAAGGAGCTTTGGGCTAAATAAATGAAAAGTCACTTCCATTATTTCTCTAGTCAGAAGATGCCCTTCCTCAGATCTCACTACATCTGCAATGCTCCGGCAGCTGCAGAGGCAAAAATCCCTCCTGGAAGCAAAGCACAGCCTCCCCCTGCTATTTTCTCTCATTTTGCCCCTTTTATCAGCCAAGCTGGAATGAAACTTTAAACCCTGCTCAAATCCCGTTAGCTGCTATCTGGGTAACTCTATCACCTTTATCTTCCCGGGGCTCTCCCAGGGTACGTTTCAATTCCAAGCCACCGCTCAGGCTGACACAAGGTGCTGATTCCTAATTAGCAGCCACTGACCTTGGCTTTGCTTGATTCTCTTTCCTGTCACTTTCCCAACATACTAATTACCTCAGGAACACCGAGTTTTACAGCGTGTCTCAGCCAAGTGTTTGCTTTTCCCCCTCTTGTTGGCTGAGGACTGGCTGCCCAAGTCCTGGAAACCCAGGGGCCAAGTGGTAGCCAGAGAAGATGTGAATTTGGATGATTTTAGCTGATCTAGAGAATTCACCAGAATTTAAACGAGGCAAAATTCCACGGCAGGACTCAACACAAAGCCAGAAATATCCCCTGGAAATCTCTGCTGCTGCTGTCATTCCCTACAGAGCACCTGCAGCTCAACAGCTGGGAAAGGGAACCTTTGTCTCCAAAGTGGAAAGGAAAGCTGCTGAAATCCCAGAGAGCTCCATTAGGGCACAGCACCCAAAGCTGGGCTTAGCACGGCAGAACCTGGCCTTGTAACTGTGTGGGGAAGAGGGCAGAGCCAGGACACCCAGCAGCATCCCACAGGATTCTCCCTGTCCCTGCAGCCTCCCCGGGCTGCAGGAGCCATCCTGCTGGGCTGTAGGACCTGCCCCTGGGATGTACCCGGGGTCTCAATCCCCCCAGCCAGTGTCCTTGGGTGAGCTCCTCCACAGGGACTGCTCTCGGCAGCCGTGGGAAAGGCGCCTCGGCCACGGGGCAGTTCCCATGACATCCTGTCACTTCTGTCCCAGGGCCAAGGTCCAGACCTCATCCTCCAGTCCTGCCCTCCACACAAAAAAAGCCACATCGGTTCTGGATCACACTTCTGGTATCTCTGCCTTAAGTACTCCAGCAGCCAGCACTCAGAAGACACAAATGGAATGCAAATACTTGTGGAATCCCTCCGGGGGCCTCACTCACCCACATACAAGGTCCTGAATAAAATGCAATAACTAAAGCCAATAAAACTCCCTGTTTCTGAGCAGCAGAGATCAGCAGGGGGTTGTTTTCAGTTAGGGCCCCTGGCAATGGAAGAAAATAAGATGCTTTATTTCATTACATCTGAGTCGAGAGGGGAAGGAAAAGGTCTACAGTCAAAATTAAGGGCTGTGCCAGTGTTCTTCAGGCCTGTTTCCATGTTTATTTTGAGGCTTTTTGCTTCAGACTGGACAGAGCTGAACCTGTGCGACCCCAGTCGCTGCACATATGCTGATAAAGAAGAGAATTCATAAATAAATAAATTCAGAGCAGACAGCACAAGGCTGTGCTGGTCTCCAGTGCTTTGCACACAAACCAAGCATGAGCCCACGGCAGCGTGTGCTATTCCAAGGCAGCTCCTCCACAGCTCCAGACATGTGGGCAGGAGCCTGGCAGCCTGATCCCACAGCTTGCCAGTGCCAAGTGAGCCCACCCTACTACTGAGGGGTCTGCCTACACCAAATATCCCCATCCCAGGGGGTTCCAAGTGCCAGTCCCTGTGCCCAGGGGTGTCACTGCCCCTCCAGCTCCTGAGCCTGGGAGGCAGAAGGGTGAAGGCAGCTGGGTGCCTGGCAGGGCTGTGGTGGGAGCAGGAGAGCTTTCCACAGAGCCAACAAACAACACAAGTCCTGCAGGATATATCCTGTTCAAAACCAGGAAGGATTCTGCACCTCTCCCCCCCTGGGGCAGGTCCTCCTGCCCATCTGGAGCCCGTGGGGTGTCAGGGAGCTGAGGAGACCCTGCACCCCCCGTGGGGGTCACACACCCTCCGGGCTGGGGCCGATCGCTCCCATATCGTAACTGACTGGTGGGCAGATTGACTTGGAAATAATAAGGTTCTCCAAATCACAAGCCTGATTAATAGGATTGACTTAACCTTAAGAGGATTGAATTGATAAAGGTAATAAGATTACTGCTTATTTCAAAGACTAGCTCAGAGTCCAGCTGGGCCTTTATGCAAAGGTGAAAAACACCAGGGGTCGGTAGGGCTGCAGGTTACAGGTGGAGGAGTGCTGGGACACACCTACAGGGGAGGGAAACGTGGCACTCAGTGGTGCTGAGCTGTGCAAGGAGAGCAGCAGAGGGGCAGCGAATGGGTCCTGGACAGACCATGTGAAACCCAGTCCTAGACTGTTCCACCACACAGCTCCTCTGAGAATCTGCTCCAGACACTTCTCTGCCAGGAAATGTAGTGCTGTGCCCTCCTTCAAGCCCTGGAGCTCATCCTCAGTGCTTCTGGCATATTCTAATTCTCCTTGGAAAAAGGCAGTGAAGTGACAATGTTAACACACAGGAATCTGTCCATCACCTTGCTCAGGGAAATGAGAAAACCTCAGGGATACAACACCAACACACTGAATGACCACTCCCTGCAAGGGCACAGGGGCTGGATCCCACACAGGAGGCTTGGGAAGAGCCAGATCCCTACACTGATTCCCTACACTCACTGGTGTTCCCAGTCCTGCCAACCACCCTGCCTGCTCTGCTTGGGGATGGGGAAAAACAGTAGGGATGCTCATAAAACTGATTAAAGGACTGATTAGCTCCACTATGGCTGCTATAAAATATTATCAGAGAGATAAACTCTTTGTGGGGGAAATGATAGGGCTGCTGCTGGTCCGTTTGTGGCTGAACATGCACAGCATCCTCACTTCCCTGTGTCCTCAGACTTTCCAGGATGGAGAAGGGAGCAGTGCTCCCTGCAGGGACCAACTGAGCCCTGGTGCCACCAGCCTCCAAGCCCAGCTGTGCCACATCTCCCTGTCCCTGCCTGAGCTGAGCAGTCACTTTTTGAGAGGTCCCAGAGCCCTGATCCAACCCTGGCTCTGCTGCTGGAATGTGGGGTTCCAGCAGACTCACATGGGGAGAGCAGCTACATCTGCTCTGCAGAGGCAAATCCTCACAGCACAAACAAACAGGGACACATGTTTACCCTTCACTCCATTCCCAACACCATAAATATTTATTTCCAGTGAGCAGCCGGTTTGTTAGAGCTTTATCTAATGCTGGGTTTGATCGACCAACTCTCCGCACAAGAGAGGTTTTTTTACATATTTACAGCCATGAATTGAGCTCCAGAAGCTCTAAGATAGCCCTGAAACAAATCTAAGCATGGTGAACACTCTGGAAGCATCAGAAATCCATTGGGAAGGACGCAGCTTGGCTACCCACAACCACATCACAGGGCCCACATGGAGCCCTGCTAACAGCAGGGGTGAGCACTCCCAGTCACACCAACCACGGCAGCAGAAATACTCTATGACTTTGTGTCTTTCGTCTGTGGGTTGTAAAACACATGAAAATAGCTGGGCATCTCCACCCCCTTGCAGGGAGCACCTCACCAGCCCTCTCACTGGGAAGGGGGAAGCAGGTAACAAGTGAAGGACAGAGCTGAGAGCCCACATCTGTGTTTTAGCCAACAAACAACATCCTCCTTCCAGCCTCTCCTTGCCACAAAGCCAGGGAACACCCGTGTGTGCCGGGAGCTGATCGAGTGCTGGGTGTCTGTCAGATTTTCCAGTGGGCTGGGGCAGCTCCCTCCCTCCCTGCCTGCCTGCACTCAGAGCCTTATCAAAACCCTCTTCCCCTCCTCTCCACCCACTGCCTTGGCAGATGTTCAGGGGTTCCAGGCATGCCCTGTTTCACACCAACCCTCCTGCAGCACTGTAGGGATGAAGCTCTTCCCTCTCCCAAACACAGATCAAGGGAAGCAGGGCCTTTGACTCCCACAGAGCCCTCCCTCCAGAGAGGACTCTCTGCTTTCATGCTCCACCTTTAACAGCTACACAGCCCAGGAAGAAGCAGCTATTTAGGGAGAAAATTCACCTACAGCTCTTGTCCCCTTTCCACCTGCAGTCCCAGGTGTCCCACCCAGCAGGAGGGACTAGGGCAGTGCCTCAGGGTTTCTGCAGCTTCAGATAACAAGGAACAGCTCAACGTGGCAGAGTGGGGTGTCTGCAGGCAAGGATGGCCCTGCATCCAGCCAGGGGGCTGCACAGGGACACTGGTGGCAGGGACCTGGCTGTGGGTGGCACGTGGCCCCAGCACATCGCACCTCTGCTGCACGGCAGGGACCCGATCCCTCATTAAGGGATTACAATTTATTTACAGCAAATCGCTGCAGGGAGACAGGGCCTGAAACAGCCCAACACCAATTAGCTGCTAACGAGTCTTCCGGACATTTGTTCCTCAGTCCAACTGTAATTGCTGCTTTAGGGTCATCTACAGCAGCCAAGAGCCACAAAAACCCCTTAATCAGCAAAACACATCAGTGGTTGCCGATTGCCAGGTCTGCAGGGCAGGGGGAGCTCTGAGGGGCTCACTGGGAAAGCTCTTGGTGAAGCAGAAGGATGAGAAACCCACCTCCAGCCCAGACAAGCTTTGGAGGGTCATGGGAGGATAGAGGCCTGGAGAAGGGGGGGGTCACTGCTCTGCTGGCCCTGCACACAGAGCCCGGGATCAGGTGCTCCCACTGCTGGGCTGGAGCTCTCCTGAGGGGCAAGGAGGTGCACCCATGTTCCCCAAGCAGAGGTGAGGGGTGCTTTCCTTTCTCATTCATTATTTTGTTACCTTACTGCTGCTTTTCCCTCTCTCTGCCTGTCCAGCTCAGGATGCACCACCTGGTTCCCATGCTCCAATAACTCCTGTTGCTCTGACAGCTCCCCAAACCCTGTGCTAATGCTGATGGCAGATGACAGGCAGGGAAAGCAGGAGCTCCATTTTAGGGGGAAAGTCATCAAGTCTGTTTACTGTTTGCTGTGTCCCCTGTGTAGAGCCTCTGGGATCTCAAGCACTGATGCAGACACATGTCTGGAAACACACTTGCTCTCTCTGGAGCCTCTCCAGTTCTGAGAAGAGGAAAAAGGCTGGAGCAGTGACAATTGCTCTCAGCCGTGCCCACACACGATCCACAGTGACTGAGATGGGGGTGACACTTGAAGACTGTTTCACCACAGACAGGTCTTTCATGACAGTGCTATTCCCACAAAGCCCTGGCACTAGAGCTGCTGCAGCCACAGCAAGGGGCAGCAGAGCCCCTGGTACTGGCAGAAGGCTGTGCCCAGAAACCACGCGCTGACGGCACCTGAGTCGTGGCACAAGGAGTGAGGAGGGACATCAATGACATCTCCTTGTGTCACCACAGCGTTATTCCACATGCCATGACTCACAGGCCTCTGAGGACCAGGACCATGGTCCTTCCCTGCACTCCCAGGGTCCAACACTGCTGCCTGGGATCACGAGGGCTTTAACGGAGCTATTTTCTCTGCCGCTGCAACAGCAGGGCCCTGCAATCCTCTCAGTGAGCTTTGCCTGCCTTGAACTAGATCAGGAGGCCAAGCCACTTCTCTGTCCGACAGATGGTAACTCAACCTAATCCACGAGCCCGGCCACGGTCCCCGGCAGCAGCGGCAGCTGCTGAGGAAGCAGAGCCTTGTGATTCCCCCTCAGGTGAGGAGCTCACGTCTCCTCAGCACTGCAAGAGCTTTGGACATCTTGCTCTTCCCCAGCTCTACCCTGCAGAGTTCACAGAGATGGTAACAGAGAAAAACGCTGATGCTTTAACTCCTGCAGCCCCAGCACGGGCACTGCCTGCCATGGCTGTGCCAGGCCACCCGGGGATGGAAGATGCTCTGCAGCGGGTGGGTCACTCCATGCCCCGTGTGCTCAGCAGGGAAGGGGGTTCCAGCTCTGCTCACCCTGCCTGCACCCTCACAGATCACAACCAGGAGCAAACCCCACTCTCTGCCTCCTCCTGGCCTGCTTCTTCCCCAGATCTGCTGGAGGATTCCCAACCAGGCAGGAGGCTCAAAGTGGTCCATGAAGGCTCCACTTCCACCAGGAGCAAGTTGGTGGCATCAAACCACAACGAGCATTGCCCTGGGAGCACCCCTGGGCTTTCCCACACTGCTGCCCCCCTTCCAAGAGCAGCAGGACAGACCCTGAAGACCAAGAGCTGATCCAGAGACATGTGTGCCCACACAATTTGCCCAGGAATTCTCAGGAGGCTGCTCATTCCCATTCAGCTCCTGCTGTGTTCCCCAGGAACACCCTGATACCCAGCACACACAAGCTGCTCAGCTCGGGCCAGCACTGCTTACATTCCATCCCTGAAATCTGCCTCCTTGCTTACTTTCACATCTGTGCCTGTTTATCCAGTAAGAGCCTGGCCCCTGAGCCTCCAGAAGGAGAGCAAAGTGACTCACTTGGTATCTCGTGGTCCCACTGACCCCTTTGCTAATTAAGCAATTTGTGCTGCGCGTGCTACCAACTTGTGTGTAATCAGAAGAAAAACAGAGTGTAGTAACGATGCCCAGTTGGGCCTGAAGCCCAGCTGACGTGGACATCCCCCAACCCCAACCCAGCAGTCTGCTCCCCGTGGACCCTGGTGGGAGGGGACGGGGGTGGAGGGTCCTACCTTGGCCTTGCCCGTGCTCTGCAGGATGTGCACCAGCGCCGACGCCATCTCCTCCTTGTTCTTCACGCTCAGCGAGGGCTCCAGCACCGAGCACAGCACCATGTAGTTGTTGGTGATGTACTCGGCAAACTCTTTGTACATCTCCATGGGAAGGATGCTCATGCTCTGGTAGCGGGATTTGATGCGGATCATGGGCCCCGGGGACTTGCCCTTCCCGGGGTTGGGGCTCACCACCGGGTACCATTTCTCGACGAACTGCCGGCCCGTGACGGAGCTGACGGGGATGTTCACCTGCCCAATGAAGTTGGTCTTGTCCTTCTTCTTCTTCTTGTCAGTCTCTTTGTATAAGTGCACCGTAATGTTTTTGAGCGACGGGAGGTTATTAAATTCAAAGTGCTCCCCCCAAAAGACATTATCAGTTTTCAATTTACAGGTAGTTCGTGCATAAAGAACGTCATCCAGGCATAATTCACACAAGTACTTTTTCTTAGCTGGCAGGTCCTTGGCTTCAATAATCCATAACTTTAACATATTCTCTACCCTTCTGCTGTTGTCCTGAAAAAAAGAAAAAAAAAAAAGCAAAGAATAAAAGGTCAATTAAAAAAAACAACCACAAAGCCAAGCACAACAAAACTGGAGATATGAGTTAATTATTTCGGATGTGCTAAATGAGCGGAGGCTTAATTACATTTTATTTTAAGGAAATACTGGCTCTCAGGAATTTGCATAATAACACTACTTATGTTAATTTTCCAAAATATCACCGTGCTCTCCATGTCTGTTGGTGCCAATTAATATAAGGAAGAAGGAAGATAAAACCCCTCCAAATCACATATGTACTGTTTCCCATTCCCTGCCAAGAGGGTCTCCAAAGAAACGGAAAGAACCTCACTGATCATGACTGGCTTTTGCAAAGCAGAAGCTTTTACAGGTATCTCACAGCTCTGGAGTTCATTTGCTTTTAACAGAGCAGCATAAAGGGACCTGAGTGCACACCCAGGGATGGCCTCATCCACACGGGAATGCCACCACTGCTGGTGGGGAAGAAACTATGTTTTAGGGCAGAAGTCCAGAGCACCCAAGTAAAACATTAAGAAGAATTATGGGAAGGAGAGTGAGTCCCAGGGGAGAATCATGACAATTCAGAAACAGAAATTTGCCTTGGATATCTTTTAAACAATAACAGAGCCAAGAATACCGGGGATCTTTCAGAGCTCCCTCGTGATGCTGACCTCATCCTGCAAGAACATCCAGGGGTATTTTTTGCAGGAGTGACTTGAAAGATAAAGCACTGGCGGCTGAACTGCTGCTGGGATTCTGCAAAACCTGTTTTGTTTGGAAACCCCTCACTGAAACAGCAGCCACAGCTTACTCTGCTCAGCCCAGGAGTCTGGGCAGGAACACTCCTGCTGGAAGTCCACAATGGAGTACTGTAGGTTCAGGAAGTACACACAGGAACTGCACAAGAACACTGAATTCCTGACAGAAATTTCAAGTCAGATACTGAGTTTATTGTGTATGAACTCAAACAAAGATGGAAAGAGAGCCATCAGTTACTGAATGCTTTGAGATGAGGGCACACTTCCAAATGGACTTCCACTCAACACTGCACCTCAAAGCCAGCGACAGGCACAGCCTCAACTCACATTCCCAGGACTTCTCTCACGCTGAGCATGACCACACAAACCTCACACAGCTCTCTCAGGTCAGTGCTGCCAGGGCTGCTGCCCTCAGAAAGCACTGGAGCCACTGAACTCCACATCCAGGAACACGCTGCCAGAGGCAGAGGTTCACCTCTCCCCTCTCCCCTCCACTGCTCCAGCTCTGACATTGAAGCAAACCTTTTATCCTGACATTTGGCACTGTGCTGGGAACAACAAACTCCAAGACTGAGGGCTCCTTTAGAACCCACCAGGCCTGGACTGAACTTGTGTGGAATGAGTTCTCAGATCATGTCACTTGTGTCTTCTCTGCCCAGCAGAAAAAGACGTGGTTGAGCTCATCAGCTGTGGAATCCTGCACTTCTCCTGACCAATCTTTGCAGCCAACTCCAGAGCAGAGAGGGGAGAGCAGCTGTACATTCTGTTTGAGGATGTACTTAGTCTTGGTGGGCCATAAAAGCTCATGTTGAGTGTCCCTGTGTTGTAGCCAAGAGAAGGATTTGTTCCTGTGAAACTCAGAGTAGATGACTTTGCCTCAACTGGCTGGAGAAGGGAAAGCCACATTCTACTACTGCCTCCAAAACTCACTGTAATGGGCATTTGAGTTCCTCCCTCACTGAAGTAGACACTGTGTCAGGAACTGACTTGTGAACTCCTTAGACTACTCAGTCTTGTAACTTTGCTGGCAGCTACCTGACATCTGTCCCAGAGCTTCTGAGAGGTGAGAGTTCTATGCAAGTGGCAAGTACCATCAATAACAGAGCAACAATGAAGATTCTTCAGGTCTGATCAATTCTTAGCAACAGCTGAAGCAGCATGTGCTGAGAAAAGAGGGGAAGGAATAATTGGCACTTGCCTGTAAATATAATTGTGGGAGAAAGCAATATGGAAAAAGGCTGACCCAGAGTTACACTTACTCACTGCAATGACAATACGTCCCCTGCTGCTCCCATGCATTGGGCTATAAAATGTAATAACGAGGAACTGAACTAGAACAGAGGCAATTCCTCACAGCCACTACCTTATTTGGGTGCACGGCACGCCGCAGGTTTTCCATCCATTTATCTCGCTCTGCTGCAGAACGACACGAGAAGCACTTACTTCCTGATGAAGTCGTCACCTACAGGGAAAGGAACAGGATTATGTCTTGACCAGCACACTGCAGACCATGATTTGGGGGGAGAGAGGGACTTAGGGAAGATGCCAGTGGATTTTATTTTTTTTTTTTTTAAGTAAACAGCTTTACCCGAGCATGAAGCAACAGCCCCTAAGGCTGGCAGAAAAACAGGACAGCTCTGTATGTTACAAAAATAATCATGGAAGCAAATTCCAATTACTTCGCCTCTTCCACACCAGAAAACACTAGATAATGGGCCTCATGCATGTGATGCTTTAAACCACCAAGTTCCACAACTGAGGGAGTGCAAATCTTTAGATGAACTAAAGATAAGTTGGAACACCGAGTGGATACCTGGCATTCCTCCAGGCCCAGCCCAAAGCCTGTGACAGTAACAACCCATTCCTTGTTTCCAGCAGAACATCAGACCTGGAAAGGCTGTTTTCCCACCTTCTCCCTTGGTGTCCTGTTGCTTCTGGAGCCCGTGCTGTGAAGAACACAGGGACAGGAACATACACCCCACTCCTGGCCATGGGATGAGCCCACACCAGCTCAGAGCCTGTCTGGGCCATTCAAGAGCTCACAGCAGCCAGTCCCCATGGCTGGGAAAGTGCTGCTGAGGTCACCTCTCATGCTTCCAGGATCACCCCAAGGGATTTTCTGCTGTATCTGTGTGGCTTTCTCTGGCCACTGGGATTTCATAGCCAGGGTTTAAGGAAGCACACTCACAGCAGTGACATTTCCAGTGTTGCAAGTGCCCCTTATTCCTTATCACATCCCTGCTATCCCAAGGAAACTCAACCCTGCTGACAGTCATGGAAGCACCACTGCCTGACAGACCAGAATGACAGGCACTAAACTTTTCTTCCTGTCCACTACAACAAAATTCTCTGGCATCAAGTACTGAGCCAAGGTCTGAAAGGCCAATAGTTCCCTGCACCTTCTCCTGCACAGGCATTCCCCAAATTGCCATCTCCTCCAGTCCTGACCTCCAGGACTGTGGTGGTCATTCCTGGTGGTCCTGGGGCCCTTTGCATTCCCAGCTTTTGTGCAGCCATATTCTCCATGCACAGCTCTGCTGGGAGGCCAAATGGACCTGGCTGGTGCTTTAAATAACTCCCCTCTGAGCTTCATTTCCGCCAGTCTCAACCTGCAGAGTTATTTCTGAGTGCTTTATCATCTCGCAGTGTTTGTGTTTACACACTGTGCGCTGGGTTATCAGCTTCTGGGAGACACAATCTCCTTTAATTTCATGTATCTCCCAGAAGCCCAACCTGTTCTTACAGCAGAGCTGGCACCCGCTAAGATTTGTCATTAGCAAACCTCAATGATAAGTTGAACACATCCCCTCCTTTGAACACAGACATCTAACCAGGACAGAATGAGAAGAGGCCTGGCCTGTCTTTACATAAAAACGCAAGAAATCTTCCAAGCAAGAGGCTTTCTCCTTCAGACAGACCCTCTTCCCTGTCCTTACACACTTTTATACTCTGCCTGTAAAACAGACTCTTCTGAGCACAAGCTCTCTTCTAGTTCCAAGAACAGACTCCATATTAGCAGGCACAGCAGCGTGATCTTTCCAGCACCCTTTCATGCTTTCAAGTATTTCCAGCTTCTTCAAAGTCTCCCATTCCAAACCCACCCTGCCTCATCTCCTCACTGCTGCCGATGCCCATGTGAACCTCCATCCCTGAACGTTCCCACACGGAGTTCTGGTGGCACACAGGATGTACCACTTGGTCTATGCCATGTGATCCCCATCCCCTGCTCTGCCAGAGGGTTGGGCAGTCCTGCATCCCGATCCTTCTCCCAGGAAGAGTTCCCACATGACAGGCAGTGACACCCATGGAGCAGCAGCTGCATCGCTGTTGACCCGGTGCTGCGCTGCCTTAGTGCTGAATTACAAACATCAGCATCCCAGAAGAAACACTTGGCAACAGTTTTAAGACCAGAACTCAAGCAAGCACTGCTCCAGGCAGCTCCCGACCTGCTCAATCGATGGGAATTTCTGGGACTTCAGAGGAGTTCTTTTCAGACACCAACCTCACACATCAGAACTTGAGCCCTGCCTTACTCAGCGAATTCAGCTGCAGAAGACTCAAAATCATCCATGTCCAAGCCCAATCCATCAAAGTTCTGACACTCCTGATACAGCCACAGTGTCCTGGAGGTGTTGGAGCCAACCTTCTGTACCCCACAGTGGGGAAAACCCTTGAGGCCACTGAGGTTCTGACCAAGGCCACGAAACTCCATCCCCACCAATCAGCTCATAATAAAGGTGGAACAGGTCAAATACACCTTTCAGTGAATGATATCATTAGTCCATTGCCTTAAAGGCCATGTCTCACCCAGCTTTTTGTTTAGCTCTTTGGTTTTGATGGAGTTTGGTGTACAAATGTGTTTGAAAATGTTCTCAGATCTAGAGGATTTGGTAGGAAACTTGGAAGCTCGTCCATGAAGGAGAATTAAGATTTCTTTGGCTGGTGTTGAAAGATGCTCTCTAAAAGACAAGTTCTCCTTGGTGACACACATGGATCCCAGAGCTGCATGGAGGACATGGAGGATCATATCCAAATAAATAACCGTGTAATCCAGCTGTCCTTCTACTGAGTTTTCATTCAATATCAGTTTTTTACCAACTATCTGTTAAGCTGAATATCTAATATATTTTCTTGCCACACTTAAGTCAACACATGAGTTATCACGGCAAAATTAATTACTCAGTTTTAAAATAATTATCAATTAATTAATCACTCAAACCCTAAAAAAACCTGTAACTGTCATACTGAAGTGAGAGAAGGGGAAAATCATGTGTCAGATATGAAGTGTGTCTTGATCAGATGGAAGCTGAAGGTCATATCTACCATGTGTGACCAAAAATGTAATTTTCCCCAGATCTGCAATCACACCCCAGCTTTGAGTTCTGACCTAAATATCATATGGCATTAATGATCTTTATGAGATATTAATTATCTTTATAAAGAGAGTATTCTGGTCTCATCAAGATTTTGGAAATGCTAGAATACTGTTAATGTACAGGATAAACTCAATTAATAAAACTCATTAATTTCTGAAATGTTACTTATTCCCACTCATTATCCCCAGTCCTCGGATGGGTGATCTCCTCAGTCAGATAAAATCTTGCCATTTTAAGAAAGTTTTAGGTACAGGGTGGGTTCCTCCCTTGAAGGCATCTCCATGGAGTAACTGGAGATGACAACTGAGCTACCAAGGCTGCTTCCCTGAGTGTCCAGAGGACAAGCTGTGGCTCAGCTGCTCTGCACCCCCTGACCTGGTGCCGAGGGGCACCAGCGCTGCCCTCCCGGCCCCGCGCCCCAAGGGCCACGCGAGCAACGTTTGCACAGCTGGATCCAATTAGTGGAGCTAAATTTAGCTGCACCACATTCTCCCTCGCTGAGGCAAGGCCAGGATGAGGCAACACAGCCTCGGCTGTACCGGAGCAACTGCAGTTTGTCCTTCTCCCAGCCGTGTCCTGGGACAGCTCAGGCACGAGCTGTGCAATGGGACGAACCTTTGGTCTGCTAAGACCTCAGAGAGCCCCTCGGTCCTCAGTGCCCTGCCTGGCCCAGGACCCCACAAACAGCAGGGCCAGGAATAGGCTCTGTAAGCCTGGACTCTGAGTCTCCACTCCTGGAGAAGATGCCCACTGTATATTTAGCACACACAGCATGTGCAGTGGCATGGGATGATTTGCTGACTGGGGAGTCTTATAAGGAGAAAGAAGATGATGCTGAGTAATTTAAAAAAAAAAAAATCAATGAAGAAAACAAGTAAATACTGACTACCAAGTACTGAGCAAGTCAGGAAAAAAGCAAGTTTCACAAAACTAAGCAGAAAAAGCTGAATGCAGCCCGTGGGAAAGCCCTGCACTGCTGCTGAGTGCCCATCCCAGCAGAGCCCAGCCGAGGGGAGCGGAGCCCAGCACGTCCTAATGCAGGTCGGTGGAGCCAAAGGAGAGGAACAATTCCCTGCACCTTCATCCACCAGCTGCCTCCCAACGAGCCACTTGGTTGTTTTCCACTGCAGATGGCTTTGGCACCTCTCGCTTTTGTCTCCGTCTGGGTGTGCTGCCAGTTCCCTCTCAAACCCGCTCTCTTCCATCTGCAGCCATGTCAGACCGTGCTGTCCTGCTTGCCGAGCCATGAGGCTGCTCCGGTGGTGTGGTGCAGGAAAAGCTGTGTCACACTGTGCCACACACACAGGGGAGATCCAGTGGACACCAGCCAGCTGGGGATGGAAACAGCTCCCGAGGCACCGTCCCCGCTCGGCCACCCCACTGCCAGGAGAATGGAGTTAAGGACTGTGCGAGGCTGGCACTGCCCAACAACAGCCACCCAAAGCTGCCTGTTCCTGACAGATCTCCACAAAGAGCAGACCCACAACAACCTCAAAGCCCAAAGGCAATGCCCCCTCTTTGTATCCACCAGTGGTACCCAAGTGCTTGGCAGACTGTGGTCAAGGCCTGGTACCACCAAAGATCCCAGGAGATCTGCAAACTCATCCCAGCGCTGACCTCACTCCCAGTTTGGAAGAGGCTCTCTGGAGACATGAGGCATTGACACGATGTGCCATTTAGTTCTCACCTCTGTCCCTCCCGCTGCAGCTTGCTGGTGAGCAGCCACCAGTCACAAATCAATGTCCCCTTTGTTGCCTGGCATTCTTCCTCCCCTCTGCAGGGTTTGCAGGACAGCAATTAACACGTTCTTTTTTTCTGTGTGACTCCTCTTTATCCAACTCACTTATAACCAAAATTCTCTTCCTCCTTACAGGTGCACAACTTGTGCAATTTCCCTCTCAGTCAGCTTCCTGCAAGTACTGTTCACATCCCTTCCTCTGCTCTTGTGCTGAACAGAATTGGTAAACAACCCTTATATTATGGATGTCACATCTATTTTCCATCTAGCTTCATTTTATCTTTCTTGAGTGGAATGTAATAGAGGCCATATAATTTACAAAACTGTTCCCCTCCTGACCCACCACACTTGTTCAATTCCTCAGAGAATGAACAGCACTGGAAAATTTATACCTCAGCCCACTCCAGAGTTTGTGTTTGGGGCTATATTTGTAAGACTGTTTTCGTGTTACCCGTTTTCATTTTAAGAAATGGATCTTCTAACTCATTTCTTTCAAAGTGTGCTAACTTCAGTAAAGAAAAGGTATTTCTCTCCCCAGTCTGACTCCTCTTGGACTCTGACAAGGTGTTTTTATCCAGCACTGCCCATCCAAGGACAGCCTGCAGTCACATCCTACAGCACAGTCCAAGCATGGATACACTATTTATCTGCTTTTCTATGCCCAAGCACAAACAGGTTCCCTTCTCTTCACAGAAACATAAGTATTGACCACCTTATTACTGTAAGAAAACCATTTCCCTGTTCTGTATCCAGCCACTGCCATAAGCAATAATACTTTGCCATCCACAATTCAGGACAAATGATTCCCAAGACATACTACATTGAATTATCCAACTACAGCCTGGTTTGTACGTGTCCTCCTCCCTCCCGCTAGCACAGACCCAACCACATGCCATAGCAGATGTCAAAATAATCTGAAATACTCACAGATTTTTCTATTTACCCAAACAAGCGAAGCTTCAGTTTTCTAGACAAAGTCCTCAACACTCCCACTGACAGCAGTGGGTTGGCTCTGTGACCACATCTGATGTATTTGGGAACACTGAGTAGGGATTGTCAGCACCTCCCAGTATCTGTATGAACATAAACTGCAAACGGATGCTCTGCTGGAACACGGCCCCGAGCAGGGCAGCACCTGTGCCAGTGGGAAGCTCTGCTGCTCCAGGGCTCACGAGGAGCTCACTGCTCTGATCCTGGGGATATGATCCTCCTTGAAAAGATGGGAGCAATTTCCTGCCTACGAAGCAGTCTCTGTGTGGCAATTCAGAGCAGAAACGTTGTCCAGCAGTGAGAGCCCCAGATGCCAGCACACACCTGGCCCCCCCGTGGCTCCCGGCACGGACCAGCAGCTCCTTACCTCGAAGCAGTAGTCTTGTCCCAGGATGCTACTGTGGACTGGCTTGATGACCACCTCCTCCTCCATACTGAGATCCAGAGCCTCAACAGCACTACTGGGACTGAGCAAGGACTCGTGGGAGCGCGATTCTTTCAGCCTCGGCATTAGATGGGATCTAGAGGAAAAATGGAATGGTGTCAGTGGATGCTCCCCTTCCCACAGAAACTGTTCAGTCCATCTGTTAGCAACAACTGCAGAATATTCCTGGGACTTTTTTGCCATGAAATAACCCAGGGCCCTGAAGAACAGGGCCTGCTACACTGTCTCATTTGTAATTTCTATTACAGGCTGTATGAGCAGTAAAACAATTTTTCCCAACTCCCATGCAGCCAGGAGTCAGTTATTAGAGGTTTGTAGGCTGTGGGTCTCTGCACAGCTGAGTAAGTCTCTAAATGGCCACCACACCTGCTGAGTGAGACTTCCCAGGTGTGGTGCTTTGCAGTATGGGCACATCAGGGAGACCAGCTGGCCCCAGCACCCACTGCTGTCTCATCAGCACCACCAGGTCCTGCAGCCCCTGGTGCTGAGCTCCCCTGGTGCCAGAACCTCACCATCTCCAGCACAGGCACAGCCAGCGTTGGGATCCACACTGTAACCAATTACCCGAGGGCTCGTGTGCTCTCTCCCGTTGTTACACTCATCCTGGGATGGGGACAGGGTGGAAAATAAGGCCATGATAGCCCTATCGACTGATCTAAATGCTCTGGAGTCCCACTGGCAGCATTTAGCAGCGGGGAGCCCACAGACAGCGAGCAGAACACCATTTTTGAGACAGCCAATACAATCAATGGTGCTGTAACTCTTAAAGCAAAACCAGAGAGCTCAAGGGGGACAAAAAAAAAAAAAAAAGAAAAGAAAGATAATTAAGTAGTCCCAGGGAAAACAAAGCAAAACCAGGAAGTGGCAAGGGAAAAAATAACTTGAGAGAAAAGGGAGCAGCTGCTTTCTCTATGGCTTGCACCATGTCAGATGTTCCTATGCCAAAGCTCTGATCCTGGTAACTCTGACCTTTAAAACCCCTGACAAGCACTTTAGGGGCTTCCAAAGAGACCAAGTGTCCCTGTCTACAAAGAGAGCGTGACGCCTTCTCCAAAGGCATGGAAGGACAGCAATAAGAGGAGTTTGTGATATTCTCAGCATGGTTTTTCATGAGCAAAACAACAATGCTCCCAGTATACTCCCCAGATTGCTCTGCTCTGTGTGTTGAGTTTTGTTGTTCTCCAGAATAAAACTGACCAAAACAGAGAGAAATGTCAACAGTGCATGCAAAATTCATCGCTTCCAGTGAATGACACGCCAGGCTGAATCTAGAAAACAGCCCAAGGAGATTCTAAGATAAAGGGCAGCAGAAGATAAACAGGTGCTTCTCTAGATTTGCCATTAAGATTCAGGCCATGGATGAAGCCCCAGGTGCTAACAGAACTGCCTGCAGCTGGTTCTCTGGCTCAGCATGTTAAATGGGCAGCTCTGAGTGCCACAGGCCACCCTCCTGGCCAGCAGCACCGCAGGACACCCAGCCTGGGGACACACGGCCCGAGGGCTCCGGGACAGCACCGTCCCCAGACACCTCCCTGCGCCCACCGAGGCACCAGCCAGGACCAGCTGTGGTGGTACCTGTAGAACATCTGCAGAACAGCCACCACCACATCTTTCTGAGGGGACAATCCCCAGCCCTCAGGCATTAAAAGCCCGGGGCTGGCAGAGCCCTGTGCTGGATCAGAAGCTGCAGCTTCCCAGCAAAGGCTCTCTGTGCCATTAGCGATTCTCTCAACTGCCCACTCACCCCGTATCTCTATGGTGAATAAATTGATCTTTAGGAACCCAGCACAGTCATTTCCCAGTACTTTGTGGCAATTTTACACTATTTTCACAGAAAAGGGTCCCTCTCCTTTTCCTCTGAATGGTACTGTAAATTAACTCTAATACAGGCAGACAGATCAAGTTACCTCAGAATGCTGAGTGCAGAACCAATATCCAGCAGCTCAAGAACTGACAATACAGACTGCTCACCCAGTCCAGATAAGCCCTGAATCGAGGTATTTATGGTAAATCTTATTTCCATATTTTTAGGATGAAATTAGAAAAGGTAGATAACCAAGCTGCAGTTGGTTATTTACTTGCATTCTTGTGTAGACAAATATAAATATTGATAATCTAAACCCACAGCTCAGGACTACATACTCTCACACACATACACATACCTCACTGAGCTGCACTGCTTCATGCTGGCCTAAGAATTTTTATTAAAATTAAAACAAATCAAGCCTATTTTTCATTTAAAACTACTGCAGCTGCAAGGCCACGGGTGGGAATGCAGATGTTCAACACGAAGGATTACCGGGGGGAGATTCTCAGGACATATTATGCTCTCACCAGATTCAGCAAATGTGTATTTATATCCCTCCATGCTCTGCCGGAGGCCTCTGGGAATCCTAAAATTAACGGGACTTTTTCAGGGAGGTTATTTGTCAGGTTCCTGCCTCGGCAGGACCTGCTCCCACAAGGTCTCTCCCACTCCTGAGCGGCCGATGGGATCCGACCCAGGTCAGCAGCAGACACATTTCTCACCAGATGCTGCCTCTGTGCAGAGGGAGTGCTGCAGGTCTCAAACCAGCCCTAAAAACCCAGCATCTGTCTCTGTATCAAGAGCTAAGTGGGGAGATGTCATTAATTAGAGACTCTCCTTGGAAATCTTGGTGGCAGGGATGAGGGATCTCTGCCAGCTCAGCCCTGGCAGTGCAGGATGAGCAGAGCCCCCTCCCAGGGCTCTGTCCCATCCCATCCCCTAGAGCTGGCCCCAACGCTACTGACTTAAGCCGGAGCAGCCCAGCACAGTCTGGGGTGGGCTACAAACACCCTGGAGGAGGGTTACATAGCACCTGATTCAAGGGTTCTTGCATTTTAATACCTGTTCCAGCGCAGAGAGCACTCCTGTCCCTCAGTGACATGGCACTTGCAGCAGGGGCCCACATACTGGAAGACGTTTGCCAGTCCCACAGACAGGGAGAGACCATAAGCTGCTTTCCTGACTCCACGAGCAGCATCCATAGTGACAGGGATCCCCGAGTCCCTGCAGACCTGTGCTCCCCGTTAGCCATCCCACTCCTGAGCAGTCAGACACAGCTGGAACACCATTTGCCCACGGTGAACACACACTTCCAAGACGACAGAGGTACTTGGTTCAAATTCACGTCCCTGCCATCACTGCTCAAGACACTGCCTGTGGGGCCATCCAATCTCCTGCTCCAATAACTCTCTGTGTATTCCAGGTCCCGTCCTGGTTTACGTCAGCTGATCTAATTCCAATCCTACACCTTTGTTTTAATATGGTGGGAACGGCCAGCTGCCCAGAGCCATCTCACAGCAGGAAACCCTCTTTCCAAACAGCACATTCTGTTCTTTTTGCCAAGGGCCCTTTTTTAATCCCTTTCTACTTGCCTAAAGTTCAGTTGAAATGAAGGGGGGAGGAAAAAAATCTCATAAAAGACCACATTAGTTCTAAAGAGAAATAACATTACTGCTACTGGCACTGACCTGGCGAGTCCCACAGAGCAGCAGCCAGTCTCTGGCTATTAAAGAAAGAGCTTTGCTGCCCGAGAGCAATGAGGGAGGACTGTTGTGCTAAATAATAAAGTCATAAAACATTACCATGTGAAGGGATGCATCCCCTCTGTCTGCACCCTCCACAGCCAGCAGAGTATCACCAGGCTGTGACAGCACACCCAATCCAACCAGGGCCATGTGGACTGCAGGGAAGTGGACTTGGAGAAACAGGCATTGAGGGACAATCCATCCTCTCCTCATACAACTCCAGTGCTGGGTTTTGAGCAATGGAGACAGCAAGCAGGGCCTCAAAGAGACAACCCTACTGGTTCTCATTTCACAGCCTCACCTGCCTGAAACCACCCAGCTGCTGCTCCTGTGGTTTTATGATGAAAACCTTCCTGGCTATTTTCGAGAGGCAGAAACAAACAGGGAACCTGGCTGGGTAGCTGCAGAGGCATGGAGCAGACACAAAATGTAACACTGAAACATGAGGAAAAAACATAGAGGGCCTTTCTCAAATCTCCTTCTGTTCTGCTCTGAGAGCATGAGCAGGTTGGGGAATTCTGAAGGAAGCCCAGGCACTAAGCTGAAGATGTCCCACTAACACCAGCTGCAGAGCCAGCACTGTGAATGCCTCCCCAGTGTCAGAGGGATCTGATCTCCTAAATTACAGGTTTGACTCTGTGACACGTCTCCTGGGCAGGAAAGGTTCCCTGTGTGCAGCTTTTCAGGCTGGCAGTTCTGTTCTGTGACCAGCCAGGAGCAGGTTCTGTAGGGCAGCCCTGACCCTCTCCCTGGCACACGCCCACTGCAGGGGGTCCTCCGTGCCCAAATGCAGCAGCACAGACTGTCAGATCCACATGCAGCACAGACAGAATTTAAATCTGTCTCCAGCCCAGGGATTAGGGGTTTGTTATGACTGAGAACAAAGTGCACAACTCCAGTAAATTGATTTGCAACATCAGATGGAAGAAGGATTTTAGCAGCCGCAGATGGGAGTAAATCACCCTCTGCCAGCTCTGCCCCGTGCCCGCTGTCCCACCTGAGCCTCCTGCTGCTGGGTCACACTGGGAACACGCTCTGCAGAGCCCAGACTGCTCCCATGGCTGCACTGCTTCCCACTCTCCTCCACAGCAGCTCTCCCCAGGGCTCAGCAGCAGCACCCGGGTGCCGACTTCCCGCTGACCTCAAGACCACTGCTGGGAATTCTCATCCCTCCCTCCCCTGTGCCTCATCCTGCTTCAACCTAACAAATAAATATAAAAGTGATGTTATGGGAATAGCCATGAACAACAGCACAAGAGCACTTGCTGCTTCCAGAAGATGAAGCATATTTTTTTTTCCTGTAGGAGAGGACGTGGGGATGAAGCCTCAGCACATCCTTCTCCATGTTTTGCTACCATGAACTTTCTCCTGCCGTTTCCTGAAGTCCAGCTGCTGATCTCTGCCTGGGAAACGCTGCTCATTGCACTCATGATGGGAACCTGGTGTTATAGGTTACCCTTACTAATGCAACACCTTCCCTGAGCAACACAAAGGACATGTAATTAAACTTATTAATGCCTGCCC